CCATAGCACTCTACCGTGGGTGACATAGTAAGACTGACTCAAAAAATAAAAAAAAATAAAAATTAAAAAATATTCTCTGGAGGTTTGTCCTCTAGCCACCCTCCTCTCTCCCCCATAACCTTCAGGTCCTACCCAGCCTTTCAACAGGGAAAAGCCACGAGACAGCATATGCCTGCAGGGCCAGACCACCTGGGTAAGTGAGAATCACAGCAGCCATGGAAGGGTGATGGTGAGAGCAGGAGCCTTGTTCTGTGGCTTCCCCTCCAAGAATCCACACCCTTCTGGATGCAAGGCGGCTGCTTCAGACAGTGGTGACTCTGGGCTCACCAGTCACTGTGTCCAGCAAAGGAAAGGATGTTAGGGATAAGAAAACATGAAAGAAGCTGGGCATAGTGGCTCACACTTGTAATACCAGCACTTTGGGAGGACAAGGCAAGAGGATCACTTGAGGCCAGTAATTGGAGACCATCCTGGGTAACATAGTGAGACCCAATCTCTAAAAAAAAAAAAAAGAAAGAAAGAAAACCTAGCCAAGCATGGTGGCATGTGCCTTTGATCCCAGTTACTTGGGAAGCAGAGGCAGAAGGACCAGTGAGCCCAAGAGTTTGAGGCTGCAGTGAGCTATGATCATACCACACACCACTGCACTCTCGCCTGGATGGCAGAGTGAGAGCCTGCCTAAAGAAAAACAAAAAAAGAAAACCTGACAAGAGTAAAAGAAACTAACCACAGTTTTCACAGTTTTTGTGAAGAAATGAAGGAGCAGGAAAAACTTAGGATGACAAAATGAAGGTGGAAGAAGTGGAGGCAAAATTTTATCCTCACCCTTCTCCCTGCCCAGCCTTCATCCCCACCACCACTGATGCTGCTGTGCTGTTAACTGTGGTGCAGGAGAAGGAGGGTCTGGGTGGCAGCTCCACCTCTTTCAGGAACAGTAGCGTGGTCCTAGGGAAGGTCCTGCGCCTCTCTGGGCCTTGATTTACCTTCTGTAACAGGGCATTCTTATAGTCCTCAAGATTGAGTAGCAAGGTGATGTAGGTGGTTTGACTGGCCAGCATAGGGGAGTCAGAGCTCTGGGTTTGAGTCTCAAAGTGAGCAGCTATGTGATCTTGAATGACTGTCTGAGCCTCAGTGTCTACATCTGTGAAATGGGAATAAGAATTTTCACCATATATGAGTGTAGGGAAGACTCATTGAGATAACATGCATGAAAAGCACTTTCTAGGCTGCCACAGTCTGAAAAAGGATTGATTATGGTTATGTTAGGCTCTGGTTCCTACCTTCATCATCCCCAAATTTAAATTCCAATTCAGCAACATGGTGTCAGGTGAGTGCAGGCAGCCAGAGCAGATTGCCAGGAGATGGAGCTTGGTCCTTTATCATGCTGTTGCAATTGCTGCCAGGAGGCTGAGTGGAGCAGAGGGGTGGAGAGAGGGGCGCAGGCTCATCTGCGGTTGCTATGGCACCCCATCCTGGATTTGCCCATCTCTCCTAATGGAGCAAAGGGCAGGAGGAGGGAGGGATGGAGAGTACAACTGGTCCCTTTCCCTCCCATCTCTCTCTCTCTCTCTGCAGCAGATGTGGGGTGGGGGGTAGAGGGAGCCTGAATCCTGGATAAGAGGAGGAAAGAGTAGGGTGCTAGGATTAAGGGTTTGAGATAGGGGCCACACTGAGAGAGGAGGGGGCAGGGCCCTCATACCTACATCCAGAAGCCAGCTGATGACGTTAGAGAGAGAGAAAATAGGCGAGCCATCGTCAGTGTGAGAGAGAGGAAAAGACGAAGAGGGAGCATCAGGGTAGGAGGGGTGGAGGCAGGCAGCCCCCAGACCACAGCCAACCTCTGCCCAGGCTCTCCTGAGCCACCAAATCTTCAGGCAGCCTGGACCCCAGGGTCCTCAAAGCTGCCCTGAAGATGGGCACCAGGGCAGGGGTCATACCCCCTCCAGTGAGGGGGCTGCTGGGTTGCTGTTTCCTCTGTGGCTGGGCTCTGGGGGGTCCACGGCCTCTTCGCTCTCTGCCCCCACTGAACTCCAAAGTCAAGGCAGAATCTGGGTTCTTCAGGGTGCCCCCAGAGGGTACTGAGGCCGCCCAGGCTTTTCTCTACTCTGGAGATGCCCAGCAGCTGTTGGGGGCTAATTGTAGTGAGCGGTATGAAGTGCACGGGGCAGGAGTCAGATCTGGCCTCCCTCCAGTCCTACAGGGGGCAGCGGGCACCCTTGCCCAGGCTGCCAATTTTCTCAACATGTTGCTGCAAGCCAACGACATCCGCGAGTCCAGTGTGGAGGAGGATGTAGAGTGGTACCAGGCACTGGTCCGCAGCGTGGCCGAAGGGGACCCACAGGCATACCGGGCCTTGCTGACTTTTATCCCTCCACCTGGGGCCAGCCACCTCCAGCTGGCCCTGCAGGCCACCCGAATAGGGGAGGAGACCATCCTTCGCGACTTATCTGGGAACAGAGTGCAGGAGGAGAGCCTAGCTGGGGACCTGGACATCCCTGCCCTGCAGAAGCGGGTGCTGACCAATGACCTTGGGAGTCTTGGCAGCCCCAAGTGGCCACAAGCAGATGGATATGTGGGGGACATTCAGCAGGTGAGGCTGTCTCCTCCCTTCCTTGAGTGCCAGGAGGGCCGGCTTCGTCCTGGCTGGCTGATCACACTCTCAGCAACCTTCTATGGACTCAAGCCAGATCTCAGCCCAGAGGTCAGGTAAGTAGATTTATGCAGGATTTGATGCATTTGTGGGTATGTAGAGATGGGGAGCACAAGTCCCCCCATTTGTGCATGGGCCATTTGGCACAAATATCTGTGTGTCTGGGGGAGTGAAGATGTGTGCATTTGCATTCATTTGTGCCTATCTGCAGTTGTCTCTGGGAATTTGTAACTCTCAGTTAATGCATACAGATGTGAATGTACATACTGTATATGACTCAATCCATTTACACATATTATCTGGGTGTCCATTTGTATTAATGTGCTTGAGCGTGTGAAGTAGTGTCTAAGCACGTACGTGTAACATAGGTATACATATGTAAGCATACCTATATGTAGCTCTACATGTGTGTGTACAGATGTCTGTACAGAAAGGCACAGGAGTTGGCACCCAGATCTGAGGAATGAATGCAAGAGGCTGGAGAGGGCTTGCATGGATGACAGTGACAGTCTGTGTACCAGGCTTCTCAGAGGAACCAGGCGGGCACTTCAGGAGTTAAACCTGCTGCTCTCTAGCAATTAAGAAGTGTACGGCCCGGTGCCTGTAGCTCAGTGGCTAGGGCGCCAGCCACATACACCAGAGCTGGTGGGTTCAAATCCAGCCCTGGCCAACTACAACCAGAAAATAGCTGGGCATTGTGGCAGGCACCTGTAGCCCCAGCTACTTGGAAGGCTGAGGCAAGAGAACCGCTTAAGCCCAAGAGTTTGAGGTTGCTATGAGCTGTGATGCCATGGCACTCTACCAAGGGTGACAGCTTGAGGCTCTGTCTCAAAAAAAAAAAA